CGGGGGCGGCCATTTCGCGGCAGCTCCGCCCCGGGGTGACCTTACCTCCCTGAGGCGCCGCCGCTACCTTGCGGCATGCGGAGTGCGGAGTGCCCCGCTGGTGGCTAAAACATCCCCCGGCCCTTAAATATTTGAGCTTGAGAAACTAGGGGAGTAATTGCTCCCTGCAGGTCTTCAAAAGCTCAGTAGGAGGAAGAAGGTTTCTTTAAGTCATGGCAGCTTGAGCTGATGCCAGCGTCCATAATAAGTGGAGCTGCATGGTCCTCATGGTGAGGACCCAAGAGCGCTCATGGGTCAGTGGCACTTGTTCAACCAAGACATGCARCTCCACCTCGAAAAGCACATTGCAAAGCTTTAGGAAGAAGAGTGTACAGATATTATGTAGTAATTTAGTATAATAAGGCCTCTTAACTGGGTGGGTAAGCACAGTGGGTGGATGGTGCAACGGCTTCAATATGTACAGGCAAAATAAAAAAAAAGGTGTTTTGGCATCCATTTTTGATATATACGCACATTGAATCCAGAGTGTCCGTGGTGCAAGATCTCCAGGTCTCAGCTCATTCATGGTGCATCTCGTGCTCTTTGGGATAGGCAATCATCCGTAGCTTGTGGATTCCTCTATTGGTGTGTAATGAAGCTCTGAGTCCCACCAGATGATCTGCCCTTCCCCATGATCACCTGCAGCATCATTACTCCTTTTCCATTCAGTCTTGCACACTCAGATAGTCCAGAGTGCAGGGTGGTTACACATTATGCCATCCCATGACATACTAAAATTCGGGCTTATGTTTCACAGAACACTCAGCAGAGCTTTATAAAGATATTAAATACAAATATTTCCATTCACCCTGTCCTGCAAGTCAATTTAAATCATTCCTTTGCCTCTTAAAAACGGTTCAACGTCTCTTACCAGGGCATCCGATGGCCAAGCCACTCATCTCTGTAGCAACAAGTGCACAAATGCAACACTTGCATCCTGAAGGGAGTTCCAGGCTTAGTGCTCCCCATTACCTGGCCACATTTCAACATCACAGAGAAAATGAAGTCAGTTTAGGCTGCCTTAGGGGATGGTCTAAGGTTTTCTGAGAGAGCAGAACAGGCCTTGGCTGGGAGTCCCTGGGGCAACCTCCTGGCACAGCAGGAAGCCAGCGCACCAAGTGCTCTGAAAACCCATTTCAGGCGGCTGTATTTTGTGGACAGGCCAAATCCTCCTCCTGGATTGAGGGGGTGGGAATAGTACTGGGGAAAAAGGGCTCCCACGTTTCAACCCCCTCCAGGACACCCTGGGGCCTCACCAGCTCAGGGCAGATGTGGGGGGGTCAGCTTAAAGGATTTCATTCACAAACTTAAGGGCGCCCCTTGTAAATAACCACTCATTGTGCTTCGTCACCCCACACAAAGCCCCTTCGGGTGCCTATAGCCCCGACTCCTCCTTCCCAGCACCCACCCCTGCCAACTTTCCCCAACAATTCCCGTGTGGCTCAGAGCAGAGGGTCACCAGGCTCCAGGGATGTCCTCACATGTAGGCCTCGGTTGGGATTTCACACCCCTGTTTCCATGAGAGGTAGAGGAAAAACAGCAAAAAGCCTGTTTTCTAAATCAATACGGTTTTCAAATTTATTTTTTTTCCTTTTTGTTTTTTAAAGAATTACTTCTAATATATCTTTCTCACAGAAGGGGAGGGGGGTATAGGGAATGTTCTCATTCCATCTGTAAACACTGAAATACAGATCTGGGAAACCAGGGAAGAGACACAAAAAAAGTGCATTTTACAAAATTATCAACTAAAATATATTTTACATGTATTACGTTTCCATTTAAATTCTACCGACTGCATTTTCAGTTTCAAAAAATATTTCCATATCTAATAGATTTAAAAAAGCATGAAATATTTTCATTATGGATAAGACATTTCGATTCATTTACATGCTGGCCGCCCAACATGGCCGCCATGTGAATCTCGAACAACGGTCATGGCCTGAAGCAGATTTCTCACGCCAAAGATATTGGCCTCTCCAGACACGAGGCAAAAGCTCTTCCAGACCCAGGGCAAGCAATTTCTCTTCTACCTGAAGAGGAGTCAGGATTGAGGTTGGACTGGTAGGTGGTCTTGAGAGATGGTGCGGCTGGTGGCACCTCTCCTAGGGGAAGGGAGCTGTGGACAGCTCCCCTACTTCAGGACAGAGGCCAAAGGAGGCCCAAACAAGTCAAGCGTGGGCACTGAAGAGCTCCCCTGGCCTCACACGCCATTGTGGACAACCACATCCCCCTGGGCTGTGAGGACAAGAGTGACTCCCCTTCCCCAGCATCTGCCAAGTGGAAGGGACAGCGAGGATCTCCTTGGCCATCATTAGTGACCACCTCCTCCTCCTCCTGCCATTCTCAGGTGCTTCCATCCAACCGACCCTGCGGCCCCAAAACAATCCTGGTTCTGTCCCCATCCCACGCTGTCGTAGCTGCATCCCCACCATATCCTTCCAAGAGACTACCCGTGTCCAAGGTAATTGTTACAGGGGAATCCAAGCAATTACTTTGACACTAACAGTATCTTGAGGCATAGGTGACATGAGGTGATTCAGCCACAGGTTCTTGTCCACGTAAGTAGGATTGCATTTCCTGCACCCAGGCCTTTTTCCCTGGGCCACCTGGGCAAGAATAGAGTATTGCAGAAGACCCTGGAAAAGCCTGAGCTACGGTGGGCCACCAGAGAAGGGAGACATGGGCCCTAGAGCAGCGGCATCAGATCTTTCCATCTCAAGTTTACTTCTAGACTCTCTCCCCTCTTTGGTATGTAGAGCAAAATGCTTGAGAGCTCCTCTGTTAACCCACGTGGGTTACATGGTTTCCACTGGGTGCTTTGATGCTGGGGAGGTTTCTCCAGGCCAGGTAGACATCGGATCAAGCTGACGAGCCCTCCCTTCCCAACACGGCAGCAGCCATGGTACAGGTGGTACAGGTAGTGCCATTTCCACTGACAGGACAACGTTAAAGCAGTATCAACACTTCTATCATTTAATGCTAGCTCAGAAGCAACCCCCCCACCCTCAAGAAAGCCCCAAACAAACTGAAAATGCAGATCCCTAGTTTGAACGAGTGACTCCAGCCAACGGATACGAGGATGGAGACAGCGCTCGTTCATGTTCTTGGAATTAGTGCAATCTAACAACTGGCTCCCCAGCTGCGTGTGACCAATCCAGTGGACTCCATGAGGCTGTCCCCTTTGGTTTGCTTCAGCATCACCTCAAGCAGTTAGCATCGAGATGAACTTCAGTCTATCTAGGAACTATAGACGTAAGGCAAGAGGCACAAATATGTAGGAATAAGGTAGCATTTGTCAACACAACCTCTCCCTCCCCGGTTGGCTCCTTTGGGGAGCTTGCTCAGATGTCAAGATGAGCTTGGAGGAGGGGTTGGTTGCAAGGCTGACTGCTTCAGCAGTGCCCCCAGGACCAGGACAGTCACTATGGGGCGGTTGCAAATAAAATAAAAGTCTCGAGAGGAACAGTGTCTGCTATGTCACTCCCTGCCTCTAGCTTCCTCACGCACTAAGGACACCTGGGGTCAACGGGGGCTGTAAACAAACAAGCAACAAATAGAAAAGGAAACTAGGAAGAGAGAATCGAGCCCGCTTCCATCACCGTGCCCTCTAACAGCCACTGGAAGGAAGGGCAACGCATGGAAGGGAAGACAATGCACGAGTCTCCTGCGGGGAGCCCACGTGGAGGTATCCCCAGCTTTACAAGACACCCCTTGGCCCCCGGGACAAGGCTAGGGCAGTTGCAGAGCTGTCCCTAACTTCCTGCCTGCCTTTGAGATGGAGGAGATTGCCCGGGCTGGCAGCAAAGTCCCAGTAAAGGGTGGGCTGTGGAGCACAGGACCCTTCTGAAGAGGGTGAGGGAGGAAGAGAAAAACAAAAAGGGGCCACCTCTTCCTCCCATGGCCCTGATGGAGTAAAACCTACTCAGGCATGACAGGAGGTCACTCCACATCCAGGCAGCTTCCAAGGGCACTGAGGTGTTTTGAAGGAGCTCTCACTCACCAGGAATCCTCTGTCTCTTCTGCTGAGCAGAGAGGACTATCCCGTGCTTGGCACCGAGGAACTCCTCTCAGTGCCCACACTTCACATTAGGGCTGTCACAGCTTGACTCTTACCATGCACCAGAGCATCACCCTCCTGCACCTTTTGGCCTTTGCCACCAAGGACAGCTCTGGTTACTGGCTTTTATCCCCTGCAAAACCCTCCCAATAGATGCATCTCTAGATACATATATAGATATAGATTTACATATGCAAGTACCTATATCTATATACATATATTTATTTTATACGTATATATTTTTCATTTATGCTTTTAATGAAGTGCTGTGCTTTGAACTGCTGCCTTCCTCCACAGGGATCCGCTCCTGTGTGCGCCCTTCGGTCCAAGGAAATGGTGCCGGGGCCCAGGTGAGTGGCACGAGTTGCTGGGAGCGCGCAGATGTCCCGGGTCACAACGCTGCCATGTCAGCCCTGCTAGCACCCCGCAACCCTCACTGCGGTGCCGTCCCAGTCCTTGTGCTACTGCGGGTTCTTCAGGATGCGCCCGTGTCGGAAGTCGTAGACGTGGCGGCAGAGGAAAACCAGCTCGGGGTCAGTGTCCTCGGGCACCTTGCGGTGCAGAGGTGTGGAGTACTCCTCCGAGGGAGGAACCATTACAGTTTTCCTGCCTGGGATCCCTTCGACGCGACGCTTTGCCAAGGCACAAAATCTGCAAGGCAATTGGAAGAGAAAAGTTGGCCCTGATTCCATCTCTCACCACGCAGCTTTCCCTATTCATGCCTGTATGTCTCGCTGCAAGACATGGCAACAGCTAACCAAGGGGTAGCTGAGGGTTAAGAGAAGGGAAAAGGGGAATAGCATGGAAGAAAATAACCTTTGCTCAGGAGGAGGAGTGTGTGGTAACTATTATTTTTTATCCCACTGTGGCTCTTAAGAGATTCCTGCAATTAAGCATGCTGTTTTTACCACCTCGGCCTTGTTTTGGTTAACTGACCCCCCAAAAAGGCATCCGCATGAGGCCATCGCAGAGGTGGCCACACTGGTTGACTGGATCTGGCGAAGTCACATCACACATGCTCCCAGCTATCACGGCACTTAGATGCACCCTGGCATTTTCCATTTAGGAGTCAGACAGCTGTTAGAGGAGAACCTGGACAGAGCTTGTGGAGTCTCCTTCTCTGGAGGCCTCCCAAACTCACCTGGATGCTGCCCTGTGCCCCTTGCTCTGGGTGTCCCTGCGTGAGTGGGACCAGATGATCCCTAGAGGTCCCTTCCAACCTCAACTATTCCATGATTCTGTGCGTGTGATTTCCAAGCAAACCACATTCCCACATGCAGGGAACAGCACCCAAACACTTCAATAGCAACCGGAGCAGCATGACACCGAAATCAAGTACAGAACAACTCAGGCCACCCCAAAAGTGGAAGAAACTAAGGTGCTCTGAGCACCAGGCCAGGAGACCCTCTACAGTAATAGCAAGAACAGTCTGCTAAAGCCTCCTGAGATGCTCGGCCAGCTTCCAGACAAGCCCTTGCAACAGACACTAACACCAATTGCTGCTATTTTTGTGACCACTCAGAGCAGTCCGGCTCCACAGCCACCACTTACCACCTATAGATCTCTTATGGATAATTCTTCCCACACCAACTGTCCTGCCTGAACTYGAGGCTGGAAAAGCCAGGTACACTGTGGCAAGTGGAGCTACAAGGCCCCAAACCAGGAATAAACCCGTTGAGTGCTGAGCCCTTGAGCGATTCGCACGCATCAGGTAAGCACAGCAAGAGGGCGGCAGCAGCTTCCTGCTGGCAACTACATTAGCACTTAGAGGATTAACAGCCAGAGCAAGGGAGAAAAAAAAAAAATCCCTGTTCTAGTTGGCTGTTTCCAGCCAGGCACATCCAGCCATGTTAGCAGACCTAGGCATCTGTGGGTACAGCTGGGCTTTTGTGGCCATGGAATTTTGCAACCTGCCTTGGTAAGTCCTGCTGAAGGGCTGACAAAGTCAACCAGCATCCAGCAAAACCAAAGATATTTAAGGGGGCGTTTTCCATTTTAATAAGTGTCCCTTCAGCCCCAATTTTCGTTCTGCGACACACACCCATCCACCCGAGGATGCCAGGTGTGTGAATATGGACAAACTGATATTTTCCCTCCCCAAGTTAACCCGAACACACAGGTTTAACTGCAGATACTTTAGCTACCACTCTGAGCAATGTTGCTGCCCAAACATCCAAACCTGTGCATGCAACTAGCAGTGTCTAGTGGCAGTGCTGACAGCAGCACCTCAGCAGGCACTTTAGCTAGCTACAGCTTCCCATAAGGGCTGGATGTACAGAAGGACTTCCAGCCTTGTTCAGTTTTTCTGTTTCTGCTGAGGTAGCTCCAGCATGACGAGTCCTCCAGCAGTGTCCATGTGCTGTGGTACCACAGACACGCATTTATTAAACCCCTAAAAGCACCTATAAAACACATAATAAAGCCTGAATGCAAAAAGCACTCCTGCATCAGAGTAACAAATGTGCAATCCCACCGACTCCAAGCAGGACACAGAGCCTGAAGGTCAGGTTCGGTTCTGCTGTGTGACGACCAGCGATGATGGGAGTGACAAAAGCTGGAGAGGGACGGGCCTGGGCAGCAGCAAGTTAAGAGCTCCACCTACCTGCAGTACTCTGCAAAGGTCAGCACGTAGCACTTCTCTTCTATGCAGGCAACACTGTTCTCATCCTGATGCCGGGACGCAAAGATTTCATTCTGCAAAAGAAGGCAGAGAGGTCAACTAGGTGGCCAGGAGCTTCTCAGCAGGCAGGAGGCAGCTCTACCCCTTCTCCCGCTGTCTCAGAAGGGAAGCTGTTGAAGCCCACATGTGTCAGACGCTCTTTAAAGTTGGTTTCACACGACCCAGACACCTTCCAGGTACAGCTCATGACTAACTTGCAGCATGATTTTGCCCAGCAAAACTTGACAGTCCGGCAGAGGCCCGGGAAAGAAGCAAGCAAGAAGCCCCACCAAGAGGTGCTTCTGCTCTAGCATATCCTAAAAAAAAAAAAAAAATCTGACTTTGCAAATAGGCTCCACATGCGACAAGCTTCCCAAGGTGCCTCCAGAAAGGCCAGTGCGCATTGCTCCCGCAGGCAGGAGCTGGGAGCTCCCTCTGCCCGCACATTCATCCAGGGAATTCCTCCCAGGGATCCTCTTCATTCCTTTCCCCTCCCCTGTGCTGTTAAACTCTTCCAGTTCATTTCTACAGCATAGAAGCAGCAACAACCTCTCATCTCAAAGTAATTTAGGCAGGAGTGGTTCAATATGGTACAATCCAGAAGGAGCTAAGTGAAGGAATTTCAGGCCTGGCTACAGCAGCAGCGAGCGCCTCTGCATGTGGAGATGTGCTGCACAAGGCTGAAAGCACTGCCTGCAGGCTCTGCTCCTGCTTACAGCCCCGAGGAAGCAGGCAGGAAGACTCAAACTCGGTGTCACAGTTTGGGGACAGGATCAGCCACAGAAACCGAGAACACCACGCCTGGATTCTGTGCATTAGAGGTTTTGGTCTACTCCTCAAGTCAAGATTATCTGAGTCATCTTTGGCAAGCCCAGCCCCAGCCTCGCAGCCTTTCATTTGAAGTCTTGTGCAATTAAGCAGGTGTGCAAAAGCCCAGCTTAGTTTCTCCCAGCCAGACCTCTGGCTCACTCTGCACTAAAAGGCAACTGCAGTGGACCCAGAAATCTTCACAAGGCGCCAGATTTGGTTTTGGAAACTGATCCGTGGCCTGCAAGTCAATCAGGTGCAACTCACAAGCTGCTCCCAGTCCTACTCTTCCATCCCCTCCACACATGTATTTTTTTTTAAGTAAAAAAAACACCAAAGACTTTTGCTGGATTATAAACAGCTGTAAATTCTTTGCTCCTTGTTTAGAAACAGCTTGTTCTGTCACCCAGCACAAGCCCAAGCAAAGCAAGGCGTGAAGGCAAAACGATTCACACTTCTATTTTCCCCCCACACTTTTTTAAAGGGAATTCTATTATACTGGTCCARCATCCTCAGTCAGATTTTAATTCTCATCACAAACCTATATGCAGAGAGGAGGCGACATTCACAGTTCTGTACCACAGACAGGCATTTCTGTTGTTTAAGTAGCAAGCCTGGGGGATTTTTACAGTAAGAAAAGGCAGTACGAGACAGATCTGCTCCAACATCCCACACAACACAGACTGCAGAACTGCAGTTGTGCATTTTTCCATCAAGCCCTACATTTCTGGATGAATGAGGATACTTTTCGTTTCGGCAGGAGTGCTCACCTGGTGCATACTGGGGTTGCGGCCTCCCTGAGTGTGCTCCGGTCTGTAATACCACAGGAGGCTCATCATCAGCTCCCCTGCAGGAGGATTTGTTGAAACACATCAAGACTTGGAGTTTCCCACCAGCGTTCACCCTCACCCTCCTGTTTTAGTCCTTTCTCTTCCACAGTTCTTGTACAAAAGCAGCCAGGCCACAGCATTTGATGCTGCACGAAGTTCTGCCACATTTCTGTGACGCCCCTACCATGTAAGCCAAGCCCTCCAAAGACCCCTCCAAAGACCCCAAGTCTGAACAGCAATGACAAATAAGCAACATGCATCCCCCCTTCCCGGACTGCCACGTGGAAAAGCACCCATCCGAGCTTGCATTTGGGAATGACATTCCCTGCAGTTGCAGAGGAATTCCCTGGAGCTGCAGAGCGCCACAGCAGACAGCAGCTCCCCACACATCTGCCACCCTGCAATAATGTAATAAAGGAGGCAGCTGCCAAGACGTGGGGCTGGCAGGCAACACGTGGACACATCTCTGCCACGAGATCCATCTCACCCCTTGTTTCCAGCCATCGAGCAGAGGCAAAGCCACCCTCCTGAAGTGCAGTACCTGTTTTGGGGTCTTCCCACAAGGCCGAGATCTTCGCAACATACGGCATAGATTTCTTCCGGGGGCCTGATTTCAGGAGGACTGTATCTCGTACCCGGATAATCTCCCCATCTCTCTCCACAGCCTGATAGCTCTTGCGAACAGCCGGCTCGGGCTCATTCTACAGTATTGGCACAAGCAAAAATAATAATAAATTAAGAATAATCAGCACAAGTAAAGAGATGAAACGTTAGGTTATTGTTTACTAGCCCAACCCAAGGCTCCTTTTTTTCCTGCTGGGAATTAAAAGCTTGATTAAGCTACCAGGACTAAGTGCTTGTACCCCAAGGATGCTCTGAGAGAACAAGGCAGCCTAAGACCACACAYAACAACTCTGTGCCTGGTGGGCCAGTCTGTAAAAGGAAAGCTCAGGCACAACTGTTCGCCTGGGAATGATACATATCCCAAAGCTTTCGCATGGATGGACGGGCAGTGGGGAATAAAGACTTCTCTGTAACAAGGCCACTAACATGAAAAACAAATCACTTTTTGGACCACAATTTGGGGGGACTTTCTTGGCCGTTGGTCCAAGAAGTGATTTCAGAGCACCTGAGCACGATGGGCTCAGACAGATCCCTGCAGCCCCAAGGGGCAGAAACCCCAAGCCCTTTCCTGGTTGCTGATCCCCGTTGCTTGAGGGGATAGCAGCATTGCCAAGTGTCACTGAAGGCTGGAGCTATGGCTCTCTGGTGAGACAGGGGCAACACAGATGAGTCTGAACACAGCTCAATACTTAGTTCTCTCCCACCTTTCTGGATAGCAGAGATGGGTGCTAGGGGACACACAGTTGGGAGCCACTCAGTCTGTGCTGTCCTTGGGAGATCATTGCTGGGGCTACAGACACCATCAGTGAGAAGAACAAGGTTCCAGGAGCTACCTTTAGAAAAGTGCTGTTCAAGCAAACCTAGAACTCAGCTTGTGTTCTCCAAGAGCCCGTGCCCTAGCCCAGGGRGAAGTGGCCACTGAAGCATGACCTCTCCCTAGGCTGGCCTTGCACACAGCTCTCGGGAACGCCAAAGCCAGAGGTGCCCATAACCAGGGCACGCTGTCTCATCCTGAGACAGGAGCAGCAGGTTCTCCCTCCTTGCTAAATGCAYGGTAATAACAGGGCATGGAGAATAAACGAGGCCAGCAGCTCTGTCTCTGAGCCCAGCCAAAAGGCGCTACGCACTGCCCCCATCAGCAGCATGCCCAGGAGCTCCTCGGGGGCACCCTGAAGGGGCACTAAGCGACAGAGGTCAGTTGGTACGAAGAAGTCCTCCAAACGTGCAGCTCTGCCGAACCTTCCCAGGGTGACCTCCACTTAGTCCCCTGAGGCTGCTCCTACCGGTTAAAGCCGCGTGCAGAAAAATGGGATTTGCCCAGCACTCACCACCACGTATACAGCCTTCTCGCAGGCTGTGCCCACAGGCATCCAGCCATTGGTGGCTCTCCGACGGCTAATTCGCTGCTGCTTCGGGTGGCAATGGCCCACGGCCGCCTTGCTCTCCGGCACGTGGAGGCAGCCCGGGCTGTTCCGGAGGCCGGATCTGGAGCCGCTAGGCGGCTTGGAGCTCTGCGGACATTCCCGGGCCATGGTCTGGGGGTCAGAGTTGGGCGTCTGCAGGTGAGGAACAGGTTCGGCGGCGGGTGGCACACTGGGCACAGGACATCCTGAGAGCGGGTGGGCAGGCGACGCGGGGTGCCCTGCCACAGGGATCGTGAGGTTCAGCTGGTCCAGAGACTTGCAGCCTTCTGGCGGAGGGAAGGAGAGAGACACCATCACACCCACAGTCCAAAGCTCTCAACACTGACCGCGTCCCTTTTTTCCTCCTAGAATCCTCTTTACCGCCTCACAGGGGTTAACAACCTTCACATCCACATTTGCTGCAGACTTTGGGCTCTAAAAGTAGAGCCCACGATGCTCCAATACAACACCACACTGCAACAGGCCAATCCAAACCTTCTCCAAGCAAATTCAGCCAGGAATATACACAAGGCTGGAACACACCAGTGTCCACAGCCGTACCAGCTCGGCAACACGTCCGAGAGCAGGGAAAGGCATGTGAAAACGACGGGAAGGGATCAAACATGGGACAAAATCCATAAGCTGCTGCATGCCATGGCCATCAGCAAAACTTGATCTTCAAAGCAGACAGGAAGGACTTGCCTCGGGGCTCCCACTGCTTCTAAAGTCACCTTTTCCTTCACCAAAAAAAGCCACCTTGGGGAATGCTCAGGGACGCACACGTGTCCCAGGCTGGCTCCCAAGCATAAAGCCCAGTTAATATTCTAGGAGGCCTCTGAGTAGGCTGTAATTTGCAGAGGAAAAATAAAATAAAATAAAATAAAATAAAATAAAATAAAATAAAATAAAATAAAATAAAATAAAATAAAATAAAATAAAATAAAATAAAATANAAATAAAATAAAATAAAATAAAATAAAATAAAATAAAATAAAATAAAATAAAATAAAATAAAATAAAATAAAATAAAATAAAATAAAATAAAATAGTCTAACCTACTGTAATGTTGCAGGTTTTTGAATAAAAGCTGCTTGGGGCACTGCACTGAAGACAGCCAGGCATGAACACATGACTGCACTAGCTGCCTTGTGAGCTGCTCTTTAGTTGTGAAGAGCACGAAAGGCACAAAGAGATGCTCTTCAGCCCACATGAAGCCATGCCGTGACTGTGCAGATAGGCAGGGGAAACCCCAACAAAAATCAGAGAATTGCACTTCAAACGCTCCCAAGTATCCACAGCTTCCTTGTATGGGATCTGGCAAAGCCTCGCTCAAGCCGAGCACTCGAGTAAAGCCTCGTCCACCTATCTGGAAGCAGGTTTGAAACGTCAAGTCACGTTCCCTTTTCCCTCATTCCCACGTGACCGAAACACCCACATTTGCAACCCGCTTTTGACAGCGGTGGCCTTGTGCATGGTCCGCACTRCCTGCAAGCGGCAGCGCTGTCCACCTTGCGGACTAGGGACAGAGGAGAGCCGGGCAAGGAGCCACAGAGCCCAGTTACCTTCCAAGGTCTCTTGCCCAGATGTCGCCAAGGGCAAAGACAGGGCCACCCCTCGCTCAACACATGGGCGGCGACCAAGACRTGCGAGTATCTGCCCAAAGAGAGGCCGCACACTCCCACCAGGACCTCTAAGGAATCTCACTGGGACCTCTAAATGCTTCTGAGGCCATGATGTCTGCACGGTTCACACCAGCTCCAAGAGGAGGTTTCAGGTACCAGAGGAGCCSCTGGGCCAGCCGTGACTTAGACCCTCCTCCACTCTGCAGGAGAGTGGCAGTGCTTTGCAGAGCATCTCCGAAGCAAAAATCTGCTCATTTTTACACACATCAAAGCTCAGGGGTTAACTTGGGCTTCACGAGTCACCTTTCTGCTGCCCCAAGCCTCCCGCTGGCTGCAGGCATTCCCCACCAATCACACCCTGCAGTGGGAGGGGAAAAAACTCTCAGGGTTAAACATGGTGGGGAGAAAAGCGGATTCCTTCTGATATCAAGCTCAGCTGAACCACCCAGGTTCCAGGAGGGATTCAGAGGGATTTTTCCTCCCGGTCAATGCACCACCACCATTAGCAGCTGCTCAGCCCTGAGGCTCGTGGGCACCAAGCGAGAGCCCCCGGCGTCTCTGTGCCTTACCTGCTGCAAAAGGCATTTTGTAGGGGTAGCCGTTGCGGCCCGCGTGCATGCTGCCCAGCCTGCCCTCTGGCACATGCACCACTCCACAGACACCATAGCTGCCAAGCGCGGGCCCTTCTCCGCAGCAGTACGGGGAGCTACACCAGTGGAGCGGCTGGAAAGGAGCACCCGAGGGCAAGGAGCCCGGGGCCACCAGGAGCCCCTCGCAGGCAGCCGGCTGCGTCAGCTCGTCCTTGGGGTAAACCGAGCAGTGGGAGTAGCCACTGTATCCGCTTTGGCCATAATAAACGTAGAACCCATTCAACGGGGTCACATCCGAGGACTCGTAGAGGCATCCGCAGTCTGCGTGATTCCCTGGCACGGGTAAGGGAGGGAACTGCTGCACTGGGAAGGAAGGTTGGTGAAATTCCTGCTTGGGGGTGGGCGACTTCTCTCCAGGTCTTCCGTACTCCGGCTTCATGGAAGCTTGGCCACCCATGAGCAAAGGCAGTCTGTGGTAGAAACCTTCCGTGCTGGCATAGGAGCTGGACAGCGATTCGTACTGCAGAGGCTCCGTCGTCCCGTAGAGCCTGGAGACATCCCGCCCGTCTGCCTTCCCAAAAGTACCTAGCGCAAGGCTCCGCCAGCCCTGCTGGCCCTCCAGTTTCAAGCTAGACATCTCCTTCTTGGCTTTGACGCAGTTCTTCCTGGTGGGTTTGGCCCACTTGAGCGTCGACTTGGAGCAGTGGTTCTCTGGTTTGCCCTCGCCCTCCGATTTATTCCTCTGCTTCAGAGGCTGCTCCTTCTCATGGGTGAGCTTCAGGAAGGCCACAGCATTGAGGCTGGCCAGTCTCTTTGGGGTGGGATGGTAGGAGACGGCGCCGTCCTCCTGCTTCGTCCCATCGAAGGCCTCGTCCAGCGCATGGTCGCAGCCGTCGCATTTCTGCCGGGGCTCGTTTCGGCTCTTCCCTTTCCCTGCCTTCCCGGCAGCCTTCTCCGCCGCGGGCCACTCGCCAGCTGCTTGGAGGCGCACGCCCTTCGCCGCGCCGTCCCCGTCAGCCTTGGTAGCATCCCTCCGAAAACGCCTGCCAGACAAGGGGCCATCGTCGCGCTCGAAGAGTGCATTGTTGACCGCCTCCGCGTTGAGTGAGGCCAGCCTCCGCTTGCGGGGCGTTGTGGGGGCAGCCTCTGGCCCTCGCTCCACGCTCTGGTCTGCGGTGGAATTGCTCCTTCCYGCTCCCAGCGCTTGCTCAGAGAAGAAGGCGGGTCCCAAGCCCTCCATCCAGCCGGGCAGCTCCTTTCTCCGGCAGCTCCGGCTTTCCCTGGACAGCTTTCCGGCAACATCCTCAAGCCGGGTGAGGAGCACCTTGCAGGTCTTCTTGTCCACAGTGGGCAGGAGGCGCCTGCGCAGTGGGTACGTCTTGCGGATCTCCCGCGGGCTCCGTCCCTTGCCTGCGGCCCCAGTGCAGCTCAGAGCCTCCCGGTCTCTTCGCTCGCTGCCCTTGGCCTCCGCCCTCTCCATCGTCGCGTGGCCCGTTGGTGGCAGCGGCGCCGGCGCTCGCCCAGCAGACCTAGCTGGATGGTTCAGGAGGAAAAACTGCTGCTTCCGGGCATGCGTCATAGGATCAGCGGCCAACCCTAGAAGCACACACACACACCAAAAAAAAAAAAAAAAAAAAAAAAAAAAAAAAAAGTTAATATCACTGGAAGGGATCCGTTTCCTTGCACCAGCTTGCACCCGTTTCCATGCACCAGCTGCCAATTACAAAATATTTGGGGAAAGCTGGGGAATCTTTTTCCTACACACGACGCGGGCCTTTTGGGTCACAGTCAGTCAGGCCACTTAAGAGACAGGACTTCACAAGCAGTGGTTCAGCATTAAGTGACAACACACGATAGTCATTAAAGACAAGGCAGTGACAAAACGCCAAGGAGCTGGGACAGCCAGGGCATGGCCAGAGAGCCCAAGGCCATTCCTACGTAGTCACAGTCACCTGAAGAGGCCTCATGGCCACTTCAAGAGAGAGAACTTAGGAACACAGGAAGTTCCATCTCCATGTCAAGAAGAACTTCTTTACTGTGAGGGTGACAGGGTCCTGGAACAGGCTGCCCAGGGGAGGTTGTGGAGTCTCCTTCTCTGAAGGTCTTCAAAACCCGCCTGGACACCACCCTGTGCCCCATGCTCTGCATGTCCTTGCTGGAGCAGGGAAGTTGGACTAGACGATCTCTAGAGGTCCCTTCCAACCTCAAACCTTCTGGGATTCTGTGAACTTATTAATGAGGAGCTTCCAAGCAAGCACAGCTGTAGCATCGGCAGCATCTGGACTGTCCCTTCAGCCACGTGCTGTCTTCCCATGTCATCCACCCTCCCAAACCTGCCTCCCCATCTTGCTCTTTTCCTTCTCCATTCCCTTTTCAGCCAAAGGAGGATGGCGCTTTGGCACTTTTGGCCTTCATGTTCAGCAAGCGACCTGTAGAAGGGCTTAGGCCGCGTGCTGRAGACATCAATACGTCCGCTGGAGAAGCCATGTGCTTACTGGACACCAAGGAGAGACATACACCAAGGTATGTAGGTGACACCAATCTATAAACCACTAAGAAAAAAAATCAGCAACTTGAGTTATGTCAGAATAGCTTCCAATTAAGCCTACACTTGAGCACAGGAAAGCACAACTGCCTGCACCATGTAGCAGCATTTATGCAACAGTGGGATTCCCTTTTCTCAGCCGAAAACCCTTGCTCTTCACATTAGCATCAGTTCCAGAGCGAGCCCAAGCACCTGCCGTAGGAGAGCCCAAGGAAACCGCACCATGGCCAACTTGGCTCCGCAACAAATTTGTAGGGAGATAAAAGCAGCCTCATGSATTTTGGTGTTAAGAGCCAAGCACACCCTTCACGGGGCAGCAGAGAAGACATCCTGCAGGATTTGCTGCTGGATGCAGCTGGTATTTTAAACCTTCTGAGGTCTGGCTTCCTAGCAGGAGCACAAGCCAACASGCCGCAATGCAAGCGAAGGAGCTGCAAAGACAGCTCTTATATTTGTGCTCCCGAAGGTTCCTGTGACGAGTTTGTTCACCAAGCAACGTCTCAGCCACGTTTTTCTCCCCGATCCACTCAAGTCCTTAGCTTGGGAACCGCAAGATCATCTTCCTAGAGCCCAGTCCTCTAGAAAACCCAAAGCCAGAAGTCAAGTGGGTTCTCTTCACCTTCAAATGCGCTCTAGTCTCAATTGCTCTGCATCAGGGCATGAACATCAGCATCCATAAACTGATTTTGAAGTCTGCAAGAGCATTACTTATGCCACAACGTGTGGTTAGGAAGCTTCAGTTGCTCCATAAAAAAAATTCCTGCCACAACCTGCGGACCAACTGGAGCTTTATTCATCCTACCAAGCCTTAATATATTTTCTATGGGTTTATGGCTTTATTCATCCTACCAACCCTTAATATTTTCTATGGGTTTGATTCCTCTCCCCTTTCCACCAGGGATAAAATAGTTGAACGGGTTTCTCCATAACCTCCAACTTCTGTCTCTTCCCCCCCAGGAAAGACTTTGATTGGGCTCTGCGCAGGTCTAGCTTCCTGCTAGAACAGAACTACCCTGCAAAGGGCAAAGGCTAGTGCCTGCAACGCGTATTCCTGCGTCCCAGATCCTGTTTTCCTCCCAAGGTCCATCCAAAGCTCCATCCTCCAGAGAAGCTGTTAATTCAGAGTTCKTGACGCTGCCAAAAAGGGGCTTGTTCTTCCATCTCCTCAAGCATTTGCCAGGGCCTCCTCAAGACCACGCGGGAACATCTGGCATGAGCTGGTCCACGCAGCTGGTCCACGCTTCCTTAGCTTGAGAAAGGCAGGGAAAAGAGAGGCATTCGGGGCCATCCCAGCCCTTTCGCAGGCGAAAGAGGCTGCCTGGCACTGGCATGGAGCGTTGATCACTCCACTCCCTGGTCCTAGGGAAAATAAGGCAGCTCTTCTGTGTGTTACAACCGCAGCTCATTTTCAGAGTGTCCTTCAAAGCTGCCTGACAAGGAAAAGTCCCAACTCGGAGCCACAAACCTTCACGTTGGGGCTCCAAGAAGCGACACCAGGAGTTACAGCCGCCAACAGAAAAGGGTAGAAACCACAATTGGTGCATGCACGTATATATATATAAAATATTAATATATGTATATATATAATACATATATAATACATACATAATATTATATATGTATTTTTAGCAGATTATGAAGGGAAACTGTGTTAACGGAGGCTACCACGTGGTATCTCCCGCTCCAACGAGCCGACAGGTGCTGAACGCCACAGAGGACAGTGTGATCCCCCGCTCCGGATAACTTAGTCCGCATCACCAGGAGTGCCAAGCAGGGGAGTGAAGCCGGAGCAGCATTCCTGCCATCTGGAAGAGCCTGCGGCTGGCAYTGCATTGGCATCAGAGACAAGTCCCCCATGGAAAATGCTTGGATGCCTCGCATCGCCATTCAAGAGCCGCTAAGAGAGGTTAAAGTGCCGGGGGCAATGTGCACGCAGGATCTGTTTTATACCCGCTCCTTAAGCTACATTTATCGGCCCACCCAGGCACAAAAGCATTTACAAACCACCACTTGGGGGGAATTAAGAGTAAGAAACGGCTGCTCAGAGCCTGCAGCAGTTTCATTAAAGGACTTTTCATGGTGAGCACAAGAGACACCAAGGGCTGCTCCAGTTTCATTCCTCCCCGAAATCCTRGGCGGATGCAACCTGGCATCTATGAGATCAGCCCGTTTATACTTGGGCACCTTCGGCAGGGGCAGCCCGGGAGCGACGAGTGCCTGGGGAACTGCTTTCCCACATCCCRAAGCAGCTGGGAACACCGCACAGGGATGTGGTGGGACTCTTCTGTGCAGCTCTGGCTGCAGTTAGGGAAATGCCTTGGGTGCTTCCAACCGGGTTTTCAGGAAGGCCCCTTTAAGCCAGGCTGCAGCTTGGAAATATCCAAGTGTATAAAGGGCCAGGGAAATAAATAAAATCCTACAGGAACTGCCTTTATGTTTTTTGTTTTTTCTTGCTAATGACAGCTCTGATACTTCAAAGGCTTCCTGTGCTTCCTCCAGTCCTGGCTTTGAGCAGAACCTACACGGGAAAGTGGGGAAAAATTCAGGGTTTCCAAGCCCTTGTCAAGCCGAGGAGCTGGTGGAATTGTCAATATTGGTCCTCGGGGCTCTGAAAAGGCAAAACACCCTAAGACACCCAGCCCCATGAAGACTCCCCAACATCTGCAGTGTCGGTCAGGCCGAAACACCAGAGGTTTAAGCCAAAGAGGACATGATGCTGGACAACAGCTGCAGGCAGCTCTGCCTGGGATCCCTAGCAGGCTGGCAGAAACCTCAGGATGAAAGCGGCAGATCCACATCCTGCTCTGGAGCRGTGACACGTGAACTGTCCGACTCGTTCCGGTGACCAAGGCAAACTTTTAGCGGCTGTATTGACAGAAAAACACAGGGACAGGAGCAATGAGAAGCCCCCAACGGACGTCTTTGCCAAACAAGTTACACGGAGGCTCTCAGGCTGCACGTGGCCAGAGCTCGCGGTGAAGGGAGAATCCTGCCCAAGAAGGAGGAAATTTTGCTTCCCAGCAGACACCGAGCACAGCTTTGGCCGCTGAGCCTGCAGGTGGTTCCTTTCTGCTCCATGCAAACCCTGCGGCACCTTCCCCCTCTCCTGGGACGCCCGGCGACCCCAGGGTATGGATAACGCCTGCTCGCCTCCATTTCTTTCCAAATATCCAGGAGTGGAACGGGGAAGCCACGCTCTGCCGTGGAGGCCGCAGGGGTAGGGAGGAGGAGGAGCGCACAATGCAAACCCAATCCCTACATGGGAAACCCTGGGAGGTGAAAGGAGACCGCTGCAGCAGCATCCAAAGCCCCTTTCCCATCACCCTTCCCTTTCCAAGGWTTGTGATCCCCCTCCAGCAACTCGGAATAAGCTGCATCAACAGTATATCTATCTATCTATATATATATATATATATTATATATACACAGGTATCTCCATTCAAACACTGTGGGCAGGCGCGAACTGCCCCATTACCCCCAGTGGGGTCGAGGTAGCTGCCTCTTGCCCACGATCTCTGACACCAAAACCGTCACTGCCAGGGACTGTTCCTAATAACTACTGATCCCAACTGACGAGAGATCTCGCAATACGTCCCAACTGACGTCCCTCAAGCCACGTTTAACCCCCTTTTCTCCCACTCCAAGCCCCAAAAAGTGCAAGTTTGACAACAAAACGCTGCAGACTCTGCAGCCATGGGGCTCAAACTGCAGGATGGAAAGGGGGATTTCTCCCAGAAAGGCACTAGAGATTCCCCTTCGTTCCCGCTTCCTGAAAGGTCGCTGTCCATATGTCCTTGCTCCATGCAAAGTTTTCCCAGGATTCAGCACACACAAGTGATTAGTTTGATCCGTGAGCAATAACTGGCTTTTCAGCCACATTATCCCTGCAAGTCATCCCTAYCCCGGCTTAACTGGGCCAAAAGGCCAACCTGACTGCTGGAATTGGAATACATTTTCCAATTGGAACGATGAAAACAAAGACTTTTGGGAATAAAGAAAAGCTTCAATTCTGCTCATTTTTATTGGCTTTCTCC